CAGCCCACCATCCTTTCAGCATCTGCTCTCTCCAGTTCATTCTGATTCATTCCACTGATGTTTATGGCATGCCTAGCACAAATCAGGCACTGAGTTTGCACAACTGGTATGACATCTAATTTAAGGAGCTTCTTGAATAACCAAAGCGAGTGCCAGATGGGCAGCTTTGTGAACACAGATCTGACCATATAGCTCTGGCGTTTCCCCATTGCCCAAAGCAGAGATTGCCAACTCGAGACCCTGATTCAGAATGGCCTTGGTGTGCCTGGACATAGACAGTCTGAATAAATCACATAGTTAACTCTGATGTTTCCTCTTGAGATAAACTTTCAAATTTCTTGCTAAGATACATAATATCCTCTGCAGTATGACTCCAACCTTCCCAGCTGCACCAAATCAATTTGGCCTCTACCTAAATTTCGCTTTCACTCCTTACCACACTCCAGCCATATTACCCACTGCTGCTCCCTGACATAGCAAGCTCATCCTTCAAGTTTCTCATACTGTTATGCACACTGATTAGAAAGTGTATTGCCTATTGCTGTAGCTATTCTTTTCCACTTTTATTTATATTTCCACTAGAATTTAAGCCCTACAAGGGTAGACTTGGTCTTATTTATCACTATATCCTTAGTGCCTAGAATAGTGTACAGTATGTGGCAGTTGCTCAAATACTCACCAAATAAGTCATCACTCTTCCTATAGGTACTTCAGTCGCAGTACGGAATAACATGCTATTTGTATAATCCCTTCAAATCAAGGTTCTATTGGTTAAGAAAGTGAATCAAACTGCTTTAAATAAGGAGCAAGGGAAGGGGCAGAGACCACTGAAAGAACGCTAGAAGCATACACCTAGACCCTCTGGGAAGTGGAACTCAGAATTTGGCTGGAGCTACTCCCGGGCCATAGTCTCTCCATTTTGCTTCCCTAGGCTGCTGCTCCCTCCTCCTCCCTCTGGCATGTCACATATGACTCAACACATGCCCTGGCCCTGCTGGCTCCTCACATCCAAGAGTCTCCCTGAGTTGAAACTGAGAATCTGGCCCCTGGTTAGCTTTGGGCCAACTGTATCTCTGACCCAATTAGTTGTGGCCTTGGGGGTAGAGAGGGAGGCACAAGGAAGGAGTGTATAGTATTGTCTCTAGACTCTGAGTCTAATGAGGACCAAACCTGCCCAGCACAAATCCATACCCTCCAGAGAACAAACATGCCATTTCTCCCAAGTGTGCTGGGCTCATTCAACTTCCACTCCCTCATCTTATTTCTTCTGCCTGAAGTTTACTTCCCCTACAACATGCTTATTTATAAGTGTACAATTCAGAGGCACTTAGCACATTCACAGTCATGTAACCATCACCACTATCTAATTCCAGGACATTTTTAACACCCCACAGAGACCACATATCCACTAGCAGTCATTCTCCCCACCCCCACCCCAGGAAACCACTAACATGTTCAATTCTCTCCAGTATACATCAGAAGTTGGACCTCAGCTGACATGGTTCAGTGGTTGAGCCTCAATCTATGAACCAGGAGGTCATTGTTCAATTTCCGATCAGGGCACATGGCTGGGTTGCGGGCTCGGTCCCCAGTGTGGGGCATGCAGGAGGCAGCCCATCAATGATTCTCTTATCATTGATGTTTCTCTCTCTCCCTCTCCCTTCCTCTCTGAAATCAATAAATTTATGTATTATATATTTTTAAGAAGTTGGATACTGGACATACTGGAACTGCTGGGTAATCTGACAACTGTAACTTTTTGAGAAACTGTCCAATTGTTTTCAAAAGCAGCTCCACCACTCCACATTGCCATCAGCAATGTGTAAGGACTCCAGTTTCCCCACACCCTTGCCAAGACTTACTGTCCATCTGTTTTATTATAGCCATCCTCATGCATGCGAAGTACTATCTCATGCATCAACCTTTTCTACCTCACACTTCAAAGTCCAGCTCAAATATGATCACCATGGAACTTCCTCATGTGCTCCAGGGTAGGTTTAATAACTCCCTTCTCCACAGCAGTCACTTATGCTTCTATTAGTGCCCATTCATTCAATATTTACTGAGCACAGACTACATGTCAAGCACTATTCTAGGTGAAGATACAGTGAACAAAAAAAAAAAACAAAAAACCTGTGCCCTTGTGGAACTTATTCTGACAGATGGTACAAAGGTCTACTTTAAACACAGAGGTCATGCCCTGGCTTGTTTGGCTAAGTGGATAGAGCATCAGCCTGTGGACTGAAGAGTCCCAGGTTCAATTCCTGTCAAGGGCATATGCCTGAGTTGTGGGCTTGATCCCCAGTAGTGGGCATGCAGAAGGCAGCCGATCAGATTCTCATCATTGATGTTTCTCTCTCTCCCCCTTTCCCTTCCTCTCTGAAATCAATAAAATAAAAATTAAAAAAAAAAAAAAAAAAAACAGGGGGCATGACTTTAGCCAGCAAGTTCAGTTGCGTAAGAGCATAAGTGCAGAGGTGGCATATTAAACCAAAAAATTAAACCAAAAAGGGAATTGAGCCAGGCAAGTCCATATAATGAAACAAGAGATGGGGCAATCTGTGTAGCCAAAAGTGACTGTAACTAACCATGGGACACTGAATCTAAGCTGGATAATGGACATGAACTGGGAAATTAAGAACAGGTGAATGGGTCAATGAATTATAAGTCACACAGTACTGTAATCACTCACTCTGTTTATGTCTACATAGCTAACTCCTCTTCTAGACAGGTACTCCAAAGTGGGATGTCTTTTATTTTCATTCTTGGTACTTGAACATGTAAGTTCGTTATCTAAATGGATGGATGAAATGCTTACCAATGGTATAAGGGAAATTGCCTACCTCCAATCCTATGATTATATAGATTTTCTCCTCCCTCAGTTCTTTAAGAGTTCAAGTAAAAAGTTGCAATGCTTCATCAAAACCTATGGTATAAACAAAGTCCTTTGGAATGAGACAAGATGCTGAATTCCTAGTGTTGTGCCCAAGAACTGAACCAGAAAATGTAGCAGATGTATCCCAGTAAGTTTGCCCTTACTGAACACCTGGGTGGCATGAAATCTTTGAACTTCCCAACCTCTAATTATTTCACCTCCTTGCAGTAATTAGCAGGACCTAAAGCAGACCTTAAGAATACCAAGTTTTCTAGGGAAGCAAATGAAACTCAACCTGGAGTGGAGAACAAATGCACAAACAAAGAGCATGTAAAATATGTTTATTGTTCTTTAAAAGGGTTCAGGGTTTGGTTTTAAATCAGGCTGCACACCTTTCATCAGTCTGACATCTCTCTCACCATGTCAAACTGGCTTCAGCTAGCAATACTTCATTAAGTCCAAAAGATAAAAAAAAAAAAACACCTTAATTTTGAGGAAGAAAATCCAGTTCTGAGAACAATTAACATTAGTCTGCAATTTAAAACAAAATGAGGGCTAATGTTTCATGTTGCTTTACACACTCTTCTCCTCATACAGAACCAGGAATGTAATTTTCCTAACTCAGGCAGGCACTGATACTGGTAGACACTGCACGCGTGCACGTGCACACACACACACACACACACACACACACACACATACATACACACACACACACACACACACACACACACACACACACACCTATTTTTCTGTCTCTCCCTGTCTCCCCCTCCCCCCAAACAACAAAAATCAGAGCATGTCAAAGGAAAAAGGTTTGGTATGATATTGATCAAAACCCTTGGAGTCAACAGTCTATCTGAACTTAGAGAATATTCTGTTTTGATCTTGGGCCTATATTAAAGGAATCTATTGTCATGTTCTGAAATAAAGAATTTTGGATAGTACCATCATTTTCCACTTTAAAATCCTAGAAACAATTCCAAAAAGCATTATTTAGTTTTGTTTTCTGGGATGGGGGAAGAGAGCATCTACAGATTTTCATTTAGTTAAAGAGCTCAAACAACTCCAGCATAGGAGATAGGCAGTTCACAGAGCCAGCCAACATCTGAGGTATCACCAGTGACAACATCCCGGTCCCTTCCTACTGGCCTAGCTGATCCTAACAAAATGGGAAGTTTATGGTTCTGCATAGCAAATTCCAACAGGACAAGATGACCCTAAACCTTTATTCAAATTCTTAGAAGCAGAGCACTAGGAAGTGTATAATATTTAAATGAACAGTGCAAGAGGCTCTGATGGTGTCCTTCAACTTGCTTTGTCAATACAGCCTGGTCACAAGTGCCTTCCACAAAAGAGCAGAACAATGGTTTTCTAGATCAGCACATTGAACCCCACAAAGAATCAGCAAAAATGACAACAGCAATTTCACTAGCAACACAGTCCTTCTGCTACTGGTTGGGCTGCTTTACATCTCTCTCCTACCCTGTTAGGCCTGTGGACACATACTCACTAGGCATTGTTGGTTTTATCTCATAAAGAACCTAGTAAGAAAATAACAAGGCAATCAGTGGTTAAACTAAACTGTACATATAGGGGGCAGTTTGGAAAATGCCCATAACAGGCATTTTCTCAAGTCCAAAATATTGTGTCTTTGCTATTCCATTACCTGTTCCTGAAAATTCAGAGTACAAATAAGTCCTAAAATAAAAAATTTTAACTACCAGCATTCTCTGACATCATTAGACAGAAAAGCAGAGTAATGCTACATACAGCCCACAGTTCTACAAGGTGTAGAAAGTGTGCTAACTCTCTGGACACATCTTTAGTGATGAACTGGAGTACTCCCCTTCAGAAATCAAATGTTTCTGGAATACTCACTTAGCTTCATTAGTTGGGAAAGAGAAGAATTCGACTCTCAGCTAAGTTCTTTGAAAAAAGAGACTCCTCTTAAAATGCCACGTCCCCCACTAACTTACCAAAACAAAAACCCAAACAAAAAAAGGCTCTTGGCTACTTTGCCTAATGTTGTATAGAGTTTTCAAGGAAAGAAACTAACATGAACACTCCATCATCAGTAAAAACTAAAAACCACCTGGATCATATAATATATATATGCCACTGCTTTTTTTTTTTTTTTTAATGTTTTTTGTTTTTTTCTAAAAGTGCCCAGGTGGGCTTAAGGCTGCCAGACTGCACGCACATCTACAGCAACAAGGGCTTCTCCTATTCCATCTACAACTAGTATCAGGGGGGAAAGAGGGATGGGGAAAAGGAAAGAAGAGAGGAAAATTGTAGCCCCCACCCCCTAACCCCAAATAACAAAAAAAGAAAGAAATTCCACAACAGGGAGATAGACCTATGTGCCAAGCATAATGGAAGAGTGTGCTCCCCAAAGAGAAGGTTATGCACAGGCTAATGTTCTGCTGGTTTTCCTTAGAGACCTATTTTGAAAAAGTTTAAAAAGACAGGAGATTTTGAAATAATTCAATCCTGGCAGAAATTCAAACTGCAACACTAAGAGCAAAACCATTCTCCACTGAAGTAATCCCTTTTTTCTTTCTCTTTTTCTTTTCTTAAACATTTTATTCGTGTTATAGAGGGATTTCTTTTGTTTTTTGTTTTCCAATCATTAGGAGAGTGGTTGAGGAGTACTGAATCCATCACCACTTTGATGACACAGTCAAGATTCCAGATTCACATTTCCAGGTACCAAGAGTTCCCTCTAAATGCCACAATCAAGTCAGCCTTCGTTTATATTTCTTTCTACTGAACACAGCAATGCCCATTGGTATCTCTGAAGCGTAATCGCATCTTAGGTCGGTATTTCTCCAGGTAAAGCAGCTGTTTGGAATTGAATGCTCCCCTTCTTTTTCTGAAAATACAAAATGGCAAACTTTATCGTGTACAAAAAAGAGCTGCCTTATTCACTGAAATGCATTATTTATGGCCTAAGGCCATTCTAACACCACAAAGCCGAAAATCAACATTTCCCATACAACATCACTTCTTAAGTTTAAATCAGAACTTTCTGTGCCTTCTGAGAAAAAGGAATAGACAAATTTTCTTTGCTGACTCTCACTACTCTTGTTAACCGTTTAATAAACATCAGAATGATTTATCCCAAGTCATCTAATATACTCTTTACCAATTAGCTTAACATATTTTTCAGATTAGAATTAGTAGCAAGTATTTAGGATGCATGAGTATTTATATGAAGCAGCAGGCACAGATGGCATTTCTTGAAATATGTTACCTTCCTAGAGCTGCTACCATTCATTTCATGCCGTCATTAATAGTCTTTTTCTTTCTTTCTTTCTTTCTCCTCTTTTTTAAAGAAAAGAGGAAAGGCTAAGAAAATAAATGGCAAAAAATTCTGGACAGCAAAATATCATGGCCTATCACTCCAGACTGAGGCCAAGATTCTGTCTGGACACTACCATCCTGATTTTATGCCTAAACAGGTCACTTATGAGTCCCAGGTGATTAACTGCTCCTCTACAGATTCTGGTTTGCCTCTTGGTCATAGAAATTGCATTTTAAAGATATTCTGGACATCTATTAAAAGAGACACAAGATCACTAAGACTCTTCTACCTAGCTATTCATTTTAAAGATTCCTAGATAGTCAAGTCATATACTGGACATATTCTACAATGTCCACATTTGCTGCCTAAATTAGATATCCTTTAAATCTGGGAGCTAGTAGTTTTACAAGTCTCTTTATCATTGGCTCTTTCTGATAATCAATCTTCAAACAAACAAACATTTTAAGCCAAAGGCAGCAAGTTATTCCAGACTAGGAATGGATACTTTCCATAATTCCTTCCTCTTATATGATCTTGCTTTATGTGTTTCTGAGTATAAAACTTCATACTTACTGTCTTATAAACTGAACTGCATCTTCATACTTCATTCCACATTCAATCAAAGCAAGTGCAACCAGCACAGGTGCCCTGCAGAGAGAAACTCAATTGTAAATATGCACACATCTTTAGAATTAAATTTTAAAAACCAGATTACATGTTACCAAAACTCTGATATTTATTATAAATCAATTTTAATATCATTTCCTTATCAATTACTAAAAAGATGCCAGACTTCAACAAAATCCTTTTCGTGAGCTAGGAGAGGGTCAGAAAATTGATAATTAGAATCAGTCTCAATAAAAGTATGTACTAGTATTTTTAAATATAACAAAGGAAATGAAGTGTTTTTTTTTAAAAAAGTCAATTATAGGGCACTGATTTTGGACTACCTAAATTAACCCAAGTCAAATTAATAATACTACCTTTGCTCTTCAAGATAAGGACTGAAACTTAGAAACTTTACTATACTATAAAAAAAGGAAAACAACAAACAAAAGGGCTAAGCAGAGGTAAGAACCTGAGTCACCACTACCTGCACTAATGTTTTGAGTCAAAGTACACATCATAAATTGACCTTTAACCTTCTGTTGATGAGTGTTGCAACACCATTCCATGCAATGCTCAAGGAAAAGGTTTTTTTAAAAAATTAAAATTACTTTTCATTCTCCATTAAACTCCACATCTCCTTTCAGGAGTTTAAGTTCAGCCATCTGCTCTCCACCTTCTAACTTCCCACACATCTCAATCCAAAATTAACCATGTACAGATTTTTTTAATGTTATTGCACATTTCAAAAGCCTGAACCTTTGGTTACTTGGTACAGCAAGAAAAAGAAAACTGAATTAAGAGTATATTTTTAGCTCAAAGATTAGACAATTACATTAAGTCATTTTCAGAACAACTGAACCACCACCCACTAAATCTAGTATGGCATCAGACAACCAATGAAAACACAAAAAGCAGCTTTTGTTCTCATTTCCTTTCCTTTCAGGCAATTAAATATTTAGTGTAATAAATGAAAATTTCTACCCAAGTGAAATATTTGATAATGAATTCACACACAAAAGGGTAAGAACTTACCTTCCCAATCCCGCAACACAATGCACTGCAACACAGCAACCTGGTTCTTCACGAAATTTGGTTTTTAATAGGTTTAGCCAATCATCCACTATCTGATTAGGGGGTGGCGCACCATCATCAAATGGCCAATCCTGGAAAGAAAAAAATCTTTCATTTAAATTGGTATTTTCTCTAGGATTAACTCCTAATACTGAATAGCTGCACAATACAGAGGGCGGGCCTACTTGAACTAACTATACCATATATACCTATTCTTAATAACAGGATTCTGGTCACTGCTGAAAAATGATCCAAGATAGAAATTCAAGTGTGTCAAATAACTTAGCCTTCTTCAATGAAGTGTAATCTGTGTCTAATTTTATCTTATGGAAATCTCTTATGATAGTGATAAGAAATTAATATTCCTCAAATATTTTGTCTGAAGCAATCTGTAAACAGACATAGAGAAAACTGTAAGCCCAAACAAAGTAAGAGAAGATACACCTGTCGATATGATTTAAAAGTACACTCTGGCAAAGAAGTATACCAATAACTGGTATCTTACTGGTCTCTACAAATATTTGTGAGGATTATCCCCCAAACAGTTCTAAGATATAAAGTCTTTTCTTTAGAGAAAGGCTCTTTGATAAAAAATCTCCAATAGTTAGCATACCATAGCAGAAGCATACTATCGTCTTTGTGCTTATTTATACATATTTAAAAGCCATGTAGCAAATATTTTTAAAGCTTTGCCTAAATTATACATATCTCATTGAATGAGCACAGTGCCACATATTAGGGTCCCTAAGCAAACGGAGACCTCTTTCTTTCAAGTATCCCTTTCTTTTTATATTCATCACTAGAGGCCCGGTGCACGAAATCTGGGGGGGGGGGGGCAGCCAGGGTGTCCCTCAGCCCAGCCTACACCCTCTCCAATCTGGGACCCCTCAGGAGATGTCCGACTGCAGGTTTAGCGGGATCGGATCTAAACCGGCAACCAGACATCCCTCTCACAATCCGGGACTGCTGGCTTCTAACTGCCTGCCTGCCTGATTGCCCCCTAACCGCCTCTGCCTGCCAGCCTGATTGCCCCCAACTGCTCTCCTCTGCTGGCCTGATTACTCCCTAACTGCTTGCTCCCCGACGCCGGCCTGATCTCGCCCCTAACTGCTTGCTCCCCTGCCAGCCTGATTGCCCCTAACCGCCTCTGCCTCGGCCCCCACCACTGTGGCTTTGTCCAGAAGGAAGTTGGACGTCCGGGAGGAAATCGGACGTCCGGAAGATGTCTGGTCAACCCGGTCTAATTAGCATATTACCCTTTTATTAGTATAGATATGCATGGGTTGGTCTTAATTAAAAAACAGCCAGGTGATTCTCTTCCTTGCTACCTTACAAGAGGTCCTAAGAAACCAATACAAATCAGCTTTGAAGAAGGAGGAAAGGGGACTCACATTTTACATATCCTCTTTTCCATCTAGCTTCAAGGACAGAAATGTAAAAACACCGGAAATTTTTTTAAACATTAAGACTATTCTAATGAAATTGGATAAAAACACTTTAAGATACTAGAGAAGGAAAAAGAGAAAAGTGACAGAGCATTAAATTGATTCTGCACTCATTATTGGCACCACTAAAACACTTCATGTAGCCCATTAGCCATGACAGTACATTATGTTTGATTTGTCAACTACACCCCATAATTAAAGGGCTGTCAGTGTTATCATTATAAATGTCACTACAGTTTAACTGTAAATAGCTATAAAACCAGTAAGTACTTTAGTTGAGAGTTTACTTCCTCTAATAATACTCCCTAAAATGCACCTAGTTAAGAAACAATAACACAAAGCATGCTTCACTTACTCAGACAAGCAGTAAACAAATTCCAAGATTAATTTTAAATGTCCTTGTTTTTTCAAGCTTAAGTTGTTAGCCCTTTAATTTTTTCTAATCATAGCTATTTAAAACAAAAGCCTAGATTTAAAGGCCTGGAATAAATCCCGGACCTACCAGCATTTTCTACAAATTAGTTCAAGTTCTTTACTTCATTTCTATTTCATAAAGATATTTATCAACATTACTGACTCAAACAGACTACAGTCAATCCACAGTTCATTTTCTCACCCTGCCATCTGTCAAAACAAACTAATTTCTCATCTAACCAATGGAAAACACAGTAGACCCCCAGTGGGTGCCTGAAACCGCAGATAGTACAGACCCTATATATACTATGTTTTTTCCTAAATGTACAAACCTATGTTAAATTTTAATTATAAATTAGGCACAGTAAATTATTAACAATAAAACAGAACAATTATAATAATATACTGTAATAAAGGCTATGCAAATGTGGTGTCTCTCTCTCTCCAATAATTTTTATATTTTCAGTCCAAATCTATTCCTAAATCTGTGTAATGATCTCTTATTTGTTGGTGTTACTTGTTACTAGGCTGAAGGCTTTCTGGTGCAACATTTGCTGTCAATTGGAACATTTTCTGTTCATGTCTTCCACCCACAAATTTAATATTTCCATCTTAACTAAGCACTCATACACTGGCTATAACTTTTGCAGTCTGAGGTGCACAGCAAAACTAGCATAAATTTTTTTCCTTCTTCACACTTCCACAAAGATAGAAGACTCATTCCTACTGTGATCATAGCAACTTCAGCCTACTTTTTTCTTTCCTTATTAAGTGGAGAACTTTCACCTTTTCAGTTAAAGGAAGCATATTCCAGCTTCTCTTTGGCATATCTGAATTGCCAGTATCACTATTTTTGCACTTTGGATGGGATGAAGCAATACTTCATCATACTACTCAGAATAGCACACGATTTAAAATGTATCAATTGTTTATTTCTGGAATGTTCCATTTAATATTTTAAGACCACAGTTGACCCCACAAAGTAACTGAAACCATGGAAAGCGAAACCGCAGATAAGGGGGTCCACTATACTTACAGGGGAAAAAACTTCAAAAATTCAGCCTAGCCCTAACCGGTTTGGCTCAGTGGATAGAGCGTCAGCCTGCGGACTCAAGGGTCCCAGGTTCGATTCCGGTCAAGGGCATGTACCTTGGTTGCGGGCACATCCCCAGTAGGAGGTGTGCACGATGCAGCTAGATGTTTCTCTCTCATTGATGTTTCTAACTCTCTATCCCTCTCCCTTCCTCTCTGTAAAAAATCAATAAAATATTAAAAAAAAAAAAATTCAGCCTAGCTTCAAGAAGTAAAATTTGGTTTTGTTTAAACACAGGGCTACATCAGAAGTTAAAGTTTTGTTTGTTTTTTTATGTGTTCTTATTTTCCCCCCATTGACTCCTTCCAGCCCGGCCCCATCCCCCACCCCAGGCCTTCAGCACCCTATTGTCTGTGTCCAAGAGTTATGCATATATGCATACAAGGTCTTTGGTTGATTACCTCCCACCCACCCACCATCCCATGCCTTCCCTCTTGAGATTCCGCACTCTGTTCCATGCTTCCATGTCTCTGGATCCTCTCCAATCATCAGTTTGTTACTTAGATTCCAGATATGAGTGCAATCATGTGATACTTGTCTTTCTCTGACTGACTTATTTCTTGTGTTTGTGTGTGTGTTCTTAAACACCGGGCTACATTTTACACATGTTTATACTTATCCCCAGTGATTTCCAGCCAGGAGAACTTAAAGTCATTTAGGAATGAGAATGCAAACAAATTACTACCATGCCATACTACTCAAATACATCTGAGTACATAGTATTCTTTAAAAACATAATGTCTGGCTATTTATTTCTTCTATTTTCACCCAAATGAAGGTGAGGACACTTTATGGATCAGATAGGAGATGACTACCTTACCAACAGGACATTTATTTTCTTTGCATCAACAGCCTTCCCAACTACTGACTAATGCAATAAAGACTACAAAACTAGCTCTCAATAAAAAGTAAAAATATAACCCGATACCAATATCTTCTTTATTTTCTGCCTCATCAACTACTAAAAAAATCTCCAGTTCTCAACCTACTTCACTACCTTCCCACAATCAAATCAAATAGCTCTAAAACACCTAAGACTACAAGGTCATTTCATTACATGCTCCTGCAATTTAAATAACTATTTAGGGGAAAAGGTATAAAATTTTGCCTAATATGAGGCTCCTGCTTTGTATAATAAAATAGCATATATTGAGGCTAGGGAATATTTTAATTTAAATTAATTTCAATCACTTTTTGTTCAAACTGAACTATGAAAGAAATCTAATCACACAAAAGCTTAGAAACCTAAAAAAGTATCAGAAACTAGGCTGATAACTGTGGAGTAAGATGCCCTCTCCTTCTCCCTTCTTATCCTCTTCTCCCACCTTTTTGTCCCCTACAAGTTAACTACAAAATACTAAGTAACTAATTTGTACTTGCAAAGTAAGAGAATATTTCCATGTGACTTAAGAATGTCTGATGGGGGGGAAAAAAAGAATGTCTGATGGAAATTTTGTTTTGTTTTGACTTTGTTAGAGTCAAACTGGTAGCCTGGAAACAAAAGCCAACTATTGCATTAATTTCCTAGAAAAACAAAATGCAAATTAACTTTTTCTTAAAATAAGTATTCACTAAATTTTACTTTTTATTTATTGAAAATACCCTGCAAGTGTAGACTTTAAGAGCACAAATGAGCAAAACTGCCAATAAAAAAGAATTTAAAGGTTGCTATGAACACTGTATTCTCCTAGTATAAGCTCAAAAAGCAAAACTACTGAGTTCCAAGTTTTATAAAATATCTGAAAGGTACAACTTGTTTGTAATGAAAAATTAAAACACTACACACTCACTAGAACATGGATTCCTTCTTTTTCAACTGGAGCTTTATCGTATGTAGCATCACAAACTCGAACCAAAGTTGTCACTCCATACTTCTTAAGTTCCTTTAAAGAAAAATAAATATAAGGTAATTTGCTTTTAGAATCTGTGACCAAAGCTTTAAAAATTTACTATTTTGAGTTGAAACAATGAGACATTATTCTTCAATAAAAACCAAAATCATTCTCATTGTGGCAACATATATAATGGACACTCTTGCACTCTCAGTAGAAATATCAGTAAGACTCACCTTTGTAAAGGGCAATTTAGTAGCATAACACAAAAACTTTAAAAGAACACATATACTTGGACCTAGAAATTCTACTTCTGAGAATTTTCACTAATGAAATAATTAAAGATATACACATTTAGATGCCAAGCATGTTCAGCACAGTTTGGAATGGTAAAAACCTGGAAACATTAATGGTCTGAACAAGGGAATGGTTAAAAGAAAGTATGGGTTAGCCATACAGCATACTATAACAGCTATGAAAATAATACTGAAGAGGTTGGGGGGAAGTTTTATTTTAAATATGACCCTATCTATTTGTAGGATCACAGAAAGAAACATCTAGAAGGCAAGTATTAACAGTTAAGTTTTTTTTTTAAAGAAACAGTGTTTATATTATATATATACTAGAGGCCTGTTGCACGAAGAGATTTGTGCAATAGGCCTTCCCTTCCCCTGGCTGCCAGCACCAGTTTTCCTCCAGCACCCGGGACCCAGGCCTTCGCTGCTCCAGCCGGAGCCTTCAGTCTTCACTGCTCCGGCCAGAGCCTTTAGTCTTCGCTCTGCCGCTTCGCACCTACCTATGCAAATTAACCGCCATCTTTGTTGGGTTAATTTGCATACTCTCCTGATTGGCTGATGAGCGTAGCGGAGGGATGGTCAATTTACATGTTTGTCTATTATTAGGTAAGATATACTAGAGGCCCAATGCACGAAATTCGTGCATGGGTAGGGTCCCTTGGCCTGGCTAGTGATCAGGGCTGGTCAGGGCCTTCTGGTTGCCGGCTGGGGCCTTCCTTCATTCCATGGTGCCCCCTGGTGGTCAGCGCATGTCATAGCGAGCGATTGAAATCCTGGTTGAACTTCCGCAGGACAATTTGCATAGTAGGCTTTTATATACACAGATTTTTTAAAATTGATTTCAGAGAGGAAGGGAGAGTGAGTGTGAGAGGGAGAGACAGAAACATCAATGATGCGAGAGAATCATTGATCAGCTGCCTCCTGCACGCCCCCTACTGGGGATCGAGCCTGCAACCTGGGCATGTGCCCTAGACCGGAAATGAACCCGGGACCCTTCAGTCCACAGGCCAATGCTCTATCCACTAAGCCAAACCAGCTAGGGCAGGGGTGGGCAACCCCTGGCACGCGTGCCAAACATGGCACACCAGTAACTTTTGCTGGCACGCGAAACCCTCTCTTATAATCTTCCGTTTACAATTGTGAATCTTTGTTCTCAGTGATGAATTTTGTTAAGTCTCATAATAGGAGTAGCTGGACGGATTAAAGTAGTAGCTCATGCATATCTCTGAAGGTCACGAAATATAAACCTGATGTAAAATCTCTGTCATCAGTGATGCAGCAGCCAAAGTCCCACTGATAATATCAAACGGAGTCATAAAGTTTTCTGTCGGACTATCAGTGTACATGTATACATTAAAAAATAAATGTATTTTTCATCATCACATACTGTGTTTTTGTCGCTCGAATGAATTTTATTATTTCTTCAAGGTTCTTCACATACGTACACCTTAAGAGATATCAAGTAGGCATATCGTGTACTCAAAAAATTAGGGTTGGCACGCAGAAGAATTTTGAGTCAGAGATTTTGCTGGTTTTGGCATGCACTCACAAAAAGGTTGCCCACCCCCGAGCTAGGGCAACAGTTAAATATTTTTAAAGTGTCTTTTGCTTATCTGTATCTTCTGATTTTTATTTAGAAAATACTTACTGTTCTTTTTTTTTTTTTAATTTAAGGAAACAAAAGTTATTTTGAAATTAAGATTAAAAAATGGTATTATATTACAAAGCCAACTAACATACAAAATAATTATGGCCAGAAGTCTTGCTCCTTTAAAAACTTTCCCACAATAATGCCTAATACAGTGACTACCTATCTTCAAGGGACCACCATCTTTTTATAGTTGCAGGAGGACAGTGACTTCTGCCACTTTTGGAATCTATGGCCAAGGAATCCACAGGCTGAAAATAGTATCACATAATTCAGCCAGGCTTAAAGGTGACTGATCAACCTAAGGACACAAGCCTAGAATCAACTTGTACACTGTGCACACAAAGTTAAGGAGCTTAGGGCTTATTAAGTATAAATAAGCAGGAACAGTGATATCATGTTTGGTTATCTAAAGAGTTATTTTAATTGCTAAAGGATTTTATTTTTCACAAAAAGGCTTTCTTATAAAGTATGTTCAGGAAAGTTGTTAAGTATTATAACTAAGTCAGTAATTTTAGTAAGTTTCAGAATACAAATAAAATCCCTTTGAAATGAACTTCATAGTAGCCATTCATTGGAAGGTTATGGTAGAATTTTTCATGGTAAATATTTGTGGCCTTAAGCAAGTCAAAACCTTTTTTGAACTCAGTTTTGCCATTTGAAAAATTAGAGGGATAGACTTAGAATCCCTAAAAGTTCATTCAGCTCTCTAAGTCTATTCCATAAAATACATCAATAGAAATCACACTGAGACTGAACAACCAGGGAATGATTAAAAAGCTTACTCATATTTGAGTAAAGTACATGCTTTCCACTAATAATAGAAAAAATGAAGGATCTGACAAAAATGCTACCTATAATACCTTTCCTTCCCCTAAGTTTCTGAACCCTTGTATATAATGGCTACTATTTCAAGTAGTTCTGGGGTAGCTTTTCAACAAAAGTGGTTAGAATATTTGAGGTAGACACAGGTTTTAGTGTCAGAGACAGTTCTGCTATGTACTGTGTGCCTTCAGGCAAATTACAAAATTGCTCTGAATTTCAGTTTCCTCATCTGTAAGAGAGAGATAATAATAGTACCTATACCTCACAGGGTTATTGAGAAGAGTAAATGACATACTGTATGAAATTGCTTATTGTAATGCTGGGTAGAAAGTGTTCAGTAAATGTTAATTATTTTTATTATTGAAAGTATAATCAGAGAACTAATAATGTAGAAAAGATATAAGAAAAAACATAGTACTAGATACTTTCTAAGGTCCCCCCAAATTCCATAAATGTTCTTTTAAAAATCTGTTATAATTAATCTAACCCATTAAAAAAAAAAAAAAAAAGACTGGTAGGATGACCATCATATGCCAATCACGGAAATAAATGGCTTTGTGATAAGAGATTTCTTTATAATGGTGTTAATTTTAATGGGATTTTACCTATATATCAATCCAAAAAGTACACCATAGTATAATCTTACCTCTGTGAACTTGTTGAGGGTAGCATTGGTAGGGTTGTGAGTAATCAGAAAACGCATGTTCTCATAGGAGATCTCCACAGGGGCTGGACGGTTCATTATGGCAAATAAAAAGTGTGAGCGTGCGTGTGTGAGTGAGTGTGATGGGGAAAATGAAAACAAAAAAAAAAATCAATAAATCTTGAAATGTTTCACAGCAGAAAACATTAAAAAGACCACTAAAATGCCTATTATCAATCAGTGTTTTCTCTATTCAACGTGTTTATTCTTTAAGTAGCTTCTCTCTTCAAGATAAGCAGAAGTATTCAGAATCCACTTGAATCCAAATTCAACTTGGGCCTCAATGTCTGCAGATGGATACCTTCGGACTCCAAAAACATCCAACTACATACAAAACTTAAGCAGCCTTTACTACATTTAGGCACTAGTGAGACAAGTTAAAAGTGTAGATTACTTTCCACTTTTGTTTACTTGATGCTTAATTTTACTGGAGTCATTAAAAGAAATATGCTTGCAATAAAAAAAAAAAAGCCAACTATTTCTGAGGCCAGTCTCGGTGTCCAGAGTCTTCAAGGCAATATTAATTATGGCACATAGAACCCCCCAAGCTCACTTGTCAGCAAAAACGCTGTGCTGAGCCTGGCAGAAGTCTGCCCTCACACTCAGAATCGCCATAAATGTGCAACGTATATTCCAACGAAAAACCTGGAAGAGAAAAGCATAAGTAAAATGAACTGGAGGTTGATAGCATTCATAAACACAATGCTCAAAAGTCAAGAACACATTCTTTATGAGCCTGAAGACATCTGAAATGTCACCAATTCTAAATTATTGCCATCTATAAAGAATAGGATAAAAGTATATACCAAGAGTTTTAAAAGCTAGAGATTCAAGTCAAGCTTGTCTTTCTTTTTTCAAAACACGATCCAAGAAGCAAAGTTTCTGTGCTAACAAGATTACTTTTAGCCCTGGCCAGTGTAGCTCAGTTGCTTGGGCATCATCCTGTGCACTGAAAGGTCACCGGTCTGATTTCTGTCAGGGCACATGCCCAGATTGCAGGCTCATTCCCTGATCCCCAATAGGGAGCATGCAGGAGGCAGCCAATCAATGCTTTGCTCTCACATTGATGTTTCTATTTCCCTCTCCCTTCCTCTATAAAAATCAATTGAAATATTTTCTTAAAAAATATTATTTTTAACTCGCCACCTACTGGGGATTGAGCCACAACCCAGGCATGTGCCCTGGCCAGGAATCGAACCCGTGACCTTTTAGTGCATGGGACAACACTCAACCGAGCCACACTGGCCAAGACCACAAGTCATCTTTAAATGATTTAAAGATCCTTAAAGCAATCTTCCCTCCATGGACTCTTCATAAAGTTTACAACGATCTCCTTTTTCTGTTTTGATGGTAAAGTCTTCCACATATATTCTTTGTTTCAAATAAGATAAATCTATAAATGGATAGAGGATATTTACCAAAGCTCCACTTTGAGGATTTAATTATTTCTATCTAAAATATATGCATTTGACCCCAATTAGGATACTATTCCATAAAGTACTTCCTGAAAAAAATTTTCTTTTCCTCACAACTCTGAGTAGTTGTTACAACCTATGAGGAATGAGGAAAGAGGATCAGAAAAGTGAAGTGACTTGTCTAAGGTAAATGAATTAGTTGAGCCCAAATTCTAAACCAAGTCTTCTGTTAGTTCCATGTTTTTTCCAGTGTACCATAATGTCAGCTGACTCAACCAATGTGTAAATCCCATCCTCTCATTTTCTAGTCCAGTTTACCTTTTTATTATTTCTCATCACACCTCTAAAATACAAATGCATTTAAAGTTCAATTCACACAGCATTCTCCTGCCCAAATATGTATTAATCCCTACCAAAAACAAGGCAAGAAAAAGAAGTGGCAGAATTTTAATATTATTTTAGGCCACTGCTATGAAACACAGTAATCTTTATAGCTGGCTCAGTCCAAATGTCAACATAATCATAACTTCCTCTGGAAATAGGGACAAAGTCAAGTTCTTTCACTTGCCTCTTTCTTAAGCCTCCAATAAATGCTTATTTAGAAGTCCCTAAAAAAGATAATTGTGATCAGACAGAAAAAGACATAAAAGATAATGACTATAGAACCATTTTCAGGAAGAAACTGAAATATAGATTAATTCAAGCCTATTCATCTACCCTCAGTCTTCTTTTTATGATATTCTTATGGTATTTTATTTTGTAAGTTACATACTTGTGATGTTATCACCATGGACACGCACAAAACTAAAACATTCCTGAAATATGAATGACAGATAATTCAAAATGGCATTCTATGAACATCAATAACTCAACAGAATGAGTTACCCACTACAGTAAATACACAAAACTTCTACACTCAAACTAAGAAAATATACATCTACACTCTTCCCTTCTTTTTTTCTTTTTTAAATCCTCACCCAAGGATATTTTTCCATTGATTTTCAGACAGAGTGAAAGGAAGGAGGAGGGGGAGGGGGTTGGAGGTGGGGGGAGAGAGAAAGAGTGAGAGAGAGAGAGAATCAACATGAGAGCAACACATAATTGATGCCTCCCGCACATGCCCCAGGCGTGGGATCCAACCCTTCAGTCTTCAGGTTGATGCTGTAACCACCTAGCAAAACTAGTGAGGGCAACACTCTTCCTAACTCATAATTCTAGCTGTAACTCCAAAACACAGCCACCTTAGATTACACATTTCATATAGAGTACTCCTTGTACAGTCAAGAAATTTTAAAGCTGGAAGAAACAAGGAATAAATTACTCTGACCTTAAAAAACAAAACAAACAAACAAAAAACATGATGTTTGGGCTTAAGAGAAGTCAAAATGACAGGCAGATCAAAGACAACAGCTGAGGTCTACTAACTCCCTATTTATTTTTCCTTCAATTTTATCTAATGGAGGTACCCACATATTTAAGTCACACTCTTTTTCATGTAAGTGTAACTTTTCAAATATTTGTTTGGATATTCATCTGAAACTCTGTGACCTTATAATAAGGGGAGAAAAGATTAATAAGGTAACTACTCAACAAACAATGGTTTGCATGCAGTGCAGAGCAAAACACAAGGAAATTCTAACCTGTTTGAATCCCCTTGGTTTAATGATGTTATCACAGCTAATTTGTGTCAGCTGAATAAAGGCACTGAAAGACCTGCATTGTAGTGATGTCCAGGCTTAAAAGTTACAGCTCTCGCATTAGGTTTTCTACCTAGTCTCCAGGGTTTGTCTGCTCAGCAAACAGAGCAAACTTTATCCCATCTTATTCCTCCCAAACTCATTTTGGAAGGACCACTTCCAGGGATAATGATAATTAATTATTAGATTTTCAATTCTTAACACCATACTGAGATCCCCAGCAAAATAATTTCTGCCAAATGAAACAGTATGCTCTATCAAAGTTAACAAATACATGATAAAAGCAAGCTTCTGCTCCTTCCCCCATCCACAAGAGTTCAACTACACATCAACAGTTAAATGTTCTTGCACCTGTCGATTCAGATAACTAATGTTCATTCCTGTGACATGCATAAGAATACAAAGTAAACAGTCTGTAAAAAATCATAAGCATACCGCAGCTGGAAAGTATTGTAGCATAAACTCAGCACCTGTACTCCTTACAGAAAAACCTTCTTCTAAAGTTCTCTCTGCCATTAATTCTGCTCTATCTACTTAAGTAAAAATTGATTCTTGCTTTAATTTACCAGGTGATGGAAGAGGCTGTTTTTTGTTGTTGTTAATCCTCACTGGAGGATATTTTTCCCAATGATTTTAAGAGAGAGTGGAAGGGAGGAAGGGGGGAGAGAAACATCAGTGAGAGAGAGACATATCGATTGGTTGCCTCCCACGGGAATCAGCATGCAACCAAGGTATGTGCCCTTGACCAAAATCAAACCTGGGATCCACCAGTCCATAGGCTGGCACTCTAACCACTGAACAAACCAGCTAGGGGAAGAGGTTGGTTTACTTGACAAATAATAGTGGCCAAATTCAAATAAGCATCTAAATATTCTCTTCACCCTTTACTTTTATGGAACCTAACTTTTAAAATGTTGCATTTGGGCCCTGGCCGGTTTGGCTCCGTGGATAAAGCGTCAGCCTGCGGGCTGAAGGGTCCCAGGTTCGATTCCAGTTAAGGGCATGTACCTTGGTTGCGGGCACATCCCCAGTAGAAGGTGTGCAGGAGGCAGCTGATCAATGTTTCTCTCTCATCGATGTTTCTAACTCTCTATCCCTAAAAAAATAAAATGTTGCATTTGGGACATTTCCATTTTTAACAAAAAAAACACACAAAATAACAGAATTTCACTGAAAGATTATAAAGGATGGTCTGTGCCAAACAATTCTTTTAAATTAAAGAAGGGAAGGAAGAAAGAGAACAAAGAAAGAAGAACAAAGAGGGGGCTAGAAGAACAGCAAGCAAGCAGAGGCCTACCAAGCTAAGAGAGTGCACTGCCAATAACAGTAAGTGAATAACACAAGTCAAACCTCAATTCTCAAACGTCTCCCATCTTGAACAATTCGCTTCTCAACCCGACAACCCTTTATACCTGTATGATTAATCACCTGACTCTTAGGTGACAAACAAGGAAAGAATTCTAGAGCATGAGTCAGTTTACCACTGTTAACATCTCAGGAAATTGTTCCGTGAATATTTTTGTGTTTTTTTGCTTTTGTTGCTGCTTATTATTGTTATTAAATTTTAATTTTTTACTATACATTTCATTTCCTTTTTGTTAAATTTTTATTTCATGTCCTTTTTGTCTTTGAAGTGTTTATTTATAGATTAAATAGTACATTAAACATGTACTGTATATAAGGTGAAAACAGGGCATCATTTGGGGTCTGCAACAGATTAATTCAATGTACATGATTTCTAATGGGAAAAAATGCTTTGGTTTTTGAACCTTCTAGAACAAATTAAGTTCAAGAACTGAGGTTGCTAGAGTTTAAATGTCTAAGGTCAATCCTCTACTGCCAATATTGACCTAGATGAGAATCAAAAACTAAAATGTATGAAATACAGTAAGCCCTTGATTTTGCTGACCTCAATTTAATGGACTTCGGAATTAACAAACTAAATTTCCAGTCCGTACGTCATATGTAAAATTAACACCCTGTTAATTTTAAAATGCTTGTAAACAAGATGTGCTTATAATTAAACTAAAGACCTGATGCACGAAATTCATGCAAGGGGCTCAGCCCTCGCAGCCCAGGCTTTGTCCGGAAGGTTGTTTGGCTATCTGGTCTAATTAGCATATTATGCTTTTATTATTGTAGAAGATTAACAGGTTGTTTTTTTATTAGTTCATTATTATTTTTAACAAATTTTAACAATAGGTCATATGTTGGAAAAAACACTGTGGTAATAATTTCAGCGACATAAATCTTACATATCTACAACTATAGTCTACATATTCAAATCCAAGGCTTACTGCTGGTAAACAATGTTCAGTGAGTGATTAGCACATGATCACACCATATCTCTCATGGTAATTGGTTGTGTTGTTGCATGGCGTGACTTTTTGCAGCAAATGTACTAAGCCAGCCATGTGCAAAATGCTTGTGGTGACTGATAAATGTACGCATTTACTAGATCTATTCAGTATAGATTAAAATTACTGTAATACACAAAGGAAACTTTTCTGTGAAATTAAACTTTTCATACGTACCTAATTTTAATTACATAAACATGTCTACATAAATAAAAACAGGTAAACTAACTAATTTGTAAATTTTTTAACATAAAGCATTCAGAAAACCTGCTTTATTATATAATGGATTTTCAGCTTTAAGGGACACCTGTTCACCCAAATTAGTCCATTATATTAAGGTTTTACTACAATATTTAATACAATATCCATCATTTAATCATGGCACATTCATAAAGTGGAAACTATGCAGAGGTCAAAAAGAATAAAATAGATTTATATGAACTGCTATGGAAAGATGGCTAAGAGACACTAATAAGTAAAAAGAGCAAGGTCTGTAACAGTGTGTACAGAAATATTTGTGAGTATCATATATGCTTCCATATCCATGAACTATCAGGAAAATTACAAAGACAAGAGGTAACAATGGTTGCCTGGGAGCATGATTTACTTTATCATAATATATGCCTTTTGAACTGTTTTCAATCTTTTTCCATGTACATATGTTACCTTAATTTTTTTTTTTATTCTAGGGCAGGGGTCCTCAAACTACGGCCCGCCGAAAACATTTATCCGGCCCGCCGGGTGTTTTTGCTGCCGCTGCCTGTCCTGCTTAGCAGCCGACTCGTCCCGGGCCCGCAGTGCGCATGTGTGGAATGTCTGAGGGACAGTGAACTGGCCCCCTGTTTAAAAAGTTTGAGGACCTCTGTTCTAGGGTGATAAAAGACTTACAATGATGTACAATCTAATTACATTGTTAACAGTGCTATAGCCATGGGATTACAAAGAGCCTCGAGAGGGCTAGTCCCTCTGTTC